CGATTTTGTGAAGTATAGTAGTGAGCACAAACAAATAATAATCGTTATTCTGAAAATTTCTCTGAGATGGAGAAAATGTTAAACAGTGGGTCTAAATGATCTAGTATTTCTAATAGTAACTTTTTGGCGGAAATCTGTTGGTTTTCTGATCAGAAAAGGTCTTTCTGGCCACTTGTTGGGTACCTAATTGACTAGTGATCTTGGTTATCAGGATTTACCTGTAGCTAGGAATGTCATATTCCTGTACCCATTCTATTACTGTTCTCTAACACATATTCAGCCATCCACTTTTCGGTGTAAGACATGGCTGATAGATTCTCAAGTCTACAGCTTTTATTAAATAAAAAGGCCCCACCGAGTGAATTCTTATTCGAGGCTGGATGGAGGCAGAGTGATGGATACTGATGGACCTTTACAATCGATCGTTTGACCCCGTTAAATGAGCGACCGACATGTCATAAATTTGACGTCAGTGGGCTAATGGCCTATACACACTTCATACCATTTTCCAAAATAATCCATTGTGACTAAGTAAAAAAATCTGAAGAATATGGTAGCTTTCAATGCCCACTGAATGTCGACTAATTGATAAGTCAAAGCTGCAACAGTTCATATTTTTATCTCTGTGAAAATGTAGTCGAAACACCAGAAACACAGGAGAAAATCTTTTTCCCTTAATCAATGCAGGAAGAGTAAGAGTTATTGCATTTATGATAAGATCGGCATTGTGCGATGATTTTGGAATGTCACTGTCACAGATGTCTGTGTGTATTCTGTGCATTGGGATATAAATATGTTTAAGTTTACGCGGAATTGTTGGTGAAAACTTTACGCACAACTCCTAAGGTAATGTAAATAATGATTATTTTTACGAGATCGAGAGGATCTCTCCATTGCGCAATACCAGTATGCTTCGCGAACCACTTCACCACATAAAAAGTCGTGACAGTGTAGTATTTTAATAATGTCGACCAACAAAGATTTTTTGAAACTGAAAATTAACTCTACTGGGTAGTTATTATCAATGTTCACTTAACTAGCGTACTGCATCATATTTTAGCTTCATCTAATTTCAAGTAAGGAAATAACCATGATCCAACGGAAAACTATTCCTATGCTCCTTAAAAGAATCATTAGCTGCTTTTGAATTCCCAAAAAATGAATAGTTTCAGGGAAATATTTGCTAACTGCAGACTGGAGTGCATGCTAAAGTAAATAGCCGAGACTTAATCAGTGATGAACCATTCCATTCGGATAATGCTGGAAAGACTGAGAGATACTCTGTAAAGAAAACCTCTCTATGTACATGATAGGTCCAGAGTTATAAGTGGACCAACGTGTTGTATCACGCAGCTCTGTCATTGACAAAGGAGTCATGTGTTTGCTACCTCTATGTTACGAAATCCCTCGCCCTTTTTTAACGTTGTTCAAGTAAATAGTTGAAAAAGATAAGCTCACCAACACATACAAGTTACTTGCCGAAAAATGCAGTAGCTTTTAATCAAGTGTTTCTTTTTCATAAGCATAGGTCTGATTCACCGAGTTACTCCAACGTATTAACCAGTGCCTAATTTTGAATTTCTATCGGGTCTGATAGTACCTGTAGAAACGACGTGCTCTTCATGTAAATACTTCTCTCGCAGTTCATTAACGTCACCATCAGTCGATGCATGACAGTAAATTGTTCGTATCTTCAAAAGGAATGTGCGGTATATATTCACCATAATCAGCAAGTGATTAGATGAACAGAACAGAGCGTAACTATGTATAGGAGTGCAACAGTTCAAGTTTGCACACTTCATGTAGCATGGAGGATAGTGATGAAGCAACATGTCTGAAAGATTAGGAAGAGCTTTTATATCGCTGCGGTCGAGTTTATATCGCCAATAGGCTCTAGCCGTTGGATCTTAGTGCCTCGAGTTTCTAAACCAGGAAGTGAGCATCTAGCCACGTCACTCGAACTAGCAGTCAAGCAATTCATTTTACAATACAAGTCTTTCGGTATGACAAAGACTGACTTTTTTCTTATCTAATCCTGTCTCAAAAAACATTAGTAGACGAGAAAGGCCGTAATTCAACTCAATACTACTCACTATTTTATACTACTTAACCAACACGAGAAATCGAACGGAAACAAAAGTGGTCGAAGAGTGTTAGCTTTTCCACATTTTCCCCATTAAACAGCTATACCTCACAGTCCATTCGTCTTTTGAACGATAGTCAAATACCCCACCTGCTAAAGGCATAACGTAAGCTGGCAAATGCCACACGAGTCTTTCATAAACGTGCTGATATTTCTTCAGGAATAGATCCTAATTTCCCAGCTGAAATTCAGTGCAGATCAGTTCAGCAGTATCATCTTACATTTAACAGGGGGAATCGCATGCCAAACAACCGAAGATTTTTGCTCAAGCTGTTCAAAAGACTATGGATCTTGACAGCGTCTTCATCTTGAAGGACAATATCATCACACTGAAAGTCAACAGAACTGTTCCCTGGCTACAAGTCAATGAAATCATTTGGGGCAGCATCCATTAGTACGCATATTGTGAAATCAAAAAATTTTGTCACAGTGTAAATACATCACTTCAAATGACAATCTTCTACTACACGACTGTCTGGGCTCGAGTAGAGTGCATTCATTAGTTCGATGTACATTCTTGGTACTATCATCACGATTGAACACCTCCTGGTCCGTGGAGTTGAATGCCAGTCCCAGGCCAAGAAATATGGTGAGGAGTGAAAACCGATGCCTATGTCGCAGAATCTGGTGAAAGGAGAAGATATTATCGATGCATCCTTGTCCTGACCTAAAGTCTGAATGGCTTTCTGGGGTTTGTTTCATCTGAGCACTACTGAGCTTAGAATTGATTATAGAGACTAGAACTTCAGGAACCATATTGTTCAAACTTATCCCTCTATGATTATCACGGGAAGACTTGTTTCTCTTCCTATAAATTGGGATAATCAGTGATTTATACCAGTCTGATGGGACTTCCTCTGATTCCTAGACATTACTTAATATCCCAATTAGACCAGGAAACAGTCTGTCACCATCGTTATTAAACACATCTAGAGTGCTTCCATCAAGTCATGCTGCTTTGTCTTGCTCCAGATTAGATACAACCTTTGTAGCCTCACTTGGAGATGGAGAACAGATATCTACACCCCATTTAGTTAGCTGCGTAAACTGAGTGTAGCTGTAGACCAGTGAAACTGCTCCCTTCAACGTTCGAGTATTCTGTCTTTACAGATAATTAGAGCCTTGTATTTTTTGGAGATTGTCTCACTTATGATTCGTCCACCGCAACCTCCTTCCACAATGAGCCCAAATAGTTGTACGATTTTACATACTCCTGATGCTCCTCCCATCGCTGAATTTATTCACCCACCAGCGTTCGCGATCGTTATGAAAACTTTTCGTAAGTTCGCATTTGAGCATCTTTTACTCCATGTCATATTCGGAGCCCGCAATGAAGTTACTTACTAAAACGACTACATGGCAATTTCGATTTCAGTTTCAAACTAAACAGCCTTGGCAGAACATCCTCATTTCGTCTAACCTGTAGTCCGTTAGAGCGAAGGCGGAGAAGAGAGGTTTGATATTAGATGGTTGGAGGCAATTGACAGGAAGCCTCGGACCTAGGTTTCGTGCTAGTTTGCACTCACAAGTCAGCTAGGCGTATCTGCAACCTTGAAAGAAGTCATGTCCCTCCTCCTGAGATTCGAACCCGCGTCACCCAGTGAATACTGCAGTCAGAGAAGTTACCACTGAGCTATTCAGGCTCGCGATTGACCTCCTGTAGGACTGCAATGTGACGTTTCTAGTCCTTTCTTTGGCGCAGACTGAATTTTATCAGTCAGGTTTGCAATGTGGCCACCACAGCCTTTCCTTAATCTACCGGATCCATTCGGTCGATAGCATACATCCCTACATTTCAAAGCCCACGAGAAATAGCTGACGCCCGTAAGGTAAATTTCGCAAACCCAATATGTTGACCAGCTGGGGTTATATGAGCGACCATAGTGGTCTCTTATGAGTGTCTCCAAACATGACAATATCCATGGCTCGAGATGCCAGAGTTCTGGCTAGTGTAGCCTATTGAAAAAGGTTCCTGAGGTTAAAGGCTACAATATGAAGCTAGCAGTATGAACTTAAGATACTATCAGTAGTGTCTTCCCGGCTCTCAACACTAGTGATGGTTGCAGAGTTAAGAAAAGGTAAGCGATTTACCTGTGTAATGGTATTAACAATAAGAGAAAGCAAAAAGATGGTGTGGTGATGAAGAAAGCTATGTGTGCTGCTCGCACCATGGAAGTTGATTTTTTCTTAGCGTCACAGCAGGACCCAGGGTAAAACTGCTTGTGGCTGTTCACATACACTCTGTTTAAGGTGCCTATTGCTGTCTATACCACCGTCTACGAACCTCCGTAGAGAAATTAAGGATGTAAAATTTTGGGCATTGACTACCCTCTCTAAAGCAAAGGTAGCTTGCTGGTTGTCCGAAGTGAACACTTCATAGCCGTCTTACACCTATTTCCCAATAGTTCTTATTCTCCCTCACCCCCCCCAACATAATGCGAATGATGTACGATATAACGGTAAATGCTTTTAGTTTCACTAACCAGACATTTCTGACATGGTGGGATCTGCAAGAACATTTGTTCTGATCAATACGCCTCAGTGTGGTATGCACGGCTGGGCCCCTTTCTCAGGTAGAAGTTATCAGTCGGGTGATAACTAGCAAACAAAGAATAGGCAGGCGAACGTAAATGATACAACAGTATGAGCTTTCTGATTGAAACTATTACAACATATACGATAACAAAATCCAAAGCGAAACACTATTTCATGAAATCCGGAAAGTTCTAACCGCCAACATTGCTACATATTCAACGATAAACGATACATATTAAATTTATTTTTTTTTTTATTTTTTTTTTAATAAATAAATAAAAAAAATAAATAAAAAATAAATAAAATACATATTCAACGATAAACGATACATATTAAATGCAGTTTGATATGGATACACTTATGGAAACGTTTGGATGGAGTTAAGCGAGAGGCACAAATAGTGACACTGCCATACCTGTGATTGGAATTAAATGTACATCTGGCACACATGAAAGCAGACAGTATTTAGAATGACATTACATAAAGAATGATAAGAAGTAATGTAGAGCATCGACACGGTTATTCTCTATCAACATAAGGTAGCAGAAGAATCAGTAATTCTCACTAGACTACTTTTTCAGTATATTCATTATTACAAATTCTTTTCTATTATATAACTAATTTTTTTATCTCCATTATATTTCTTCATAATGCCGTCTATTTAGTTTCGATAGATAATCTAGTAACAATGTATATCTCGTGGTATTTTTGCATTATCGGTAAAAGACAAGTAAAAGATGACTTTAAGTATAAAAGTGTATTAATAAGATACCAACTATATACAAACTGTCCCATGGAAATGTATTTTCTTATCGTATGCAATTGATTAGTAACTCCTTCAAAGTTGACGAACACACATTCTTACCTAAATAAATTATTAGAATTTTATTTTCTCAAATTACCGATGAATATCAACCTTGTTCCTTTCAAACTGAGCAAGTCAACTCTGTTATTCGGTATAGGAGAGAGATCGTATATTTCATTCAGTCCTTGAAGGGCGTAAATACAATTATCATCCGCAAAATGGACGAATCCCTGTGAAAGAGAAAACAGTGCATGTTTACATGAAAATATCCGTCATATATATGGTACAGAAGAACTTATAAAATGATCACTAACCAGGTTATAGTTGCGCCAGTAAAACTACCATGAAAACATTAAAGATAATCGGTCTGAGCAATTAGTTTGAAGTATCTTTATTTGTAAACCGATATATTTTCATAGCTTGTTTCAAAGACTTAACTTTTATTTGAGAAGCTTTAAAAACTGCCACTGTACATAGTCAAGGATAAAGCTCATACTATAGATTGAATAGTACTTAGATCATGTCGCTTAAATGAATTGAATTACAGACTGCGAGAACATATCTAATTGAGTTAGATTTGAAAAATTTGAAGTTGGTTTTTATAAAATAAACGAGTTCTGCAGTATTTTCCAGTATCGATAACACAGCTTGAATTTCTTAGGATTTAGGTCATTGCTCGCATCAAGATGGGGATATATTGAGTTACTGTTTTAGCTCACGTCCAATTTTGAATAAACCATTTTCACTCAAAAAAACGTTCACAGGACACGCTGCCTACAAATGATAACTTTCACGAACAAATCCAGAAACCTTCATCGTCTACAAGATTTCTACTTGGTTTCATTTGAAAGTTTCTTGATAACTATTTTTTAACCAAATACGGCAGTCAGCATTTAGCGTCCATAACAACAACAGCAATATATGACTCCGAATCGTTTGGTCAAATATTTACCCTCGAAATTAAGCTTTAAGTGAAAAGTCGAACAATCTTATTATTAGTTAAAAATACTTATTTGAAGGACAACCGACAGACTGCATATATATATATATATATATATATATATATATATATCGTGCATTGTAATGATGTTTGGTTTTCAACGGTTTAATACCTGACACATACGAACCAAGTTTTCAGACAAACAGAGAACTATGACTCAAAAGTACTGTGATCGCATAGGTAAATACTAATTTTTTAATCCAAAAGTTGAAGAAGCATACATAATCACATCAAATAATTTTAAATTGCTCGACTACATAAATGAAATAACAGTTAAATTGAGAAGTACTCATGTCCAACAGCCTTGCGTAGAACTTAACGCTTTGACTGTTAACCCATAACTACGGAAACAAAGATTGTAAAATAAGCGGTATGAAAATATTACATTTTCTTTGAACGTTTTTTTTCACTGTAGAATAACCTGGAGATATAATGAATATATTCCTAATAAAAATGACAAATAGCACCGATGTGAAGATCAACAGCAATGACAACTAGGCGACGAAACATAATCGTGAACCACTCAAGAGTGGTACGCTTGTTAATAACACAAACAGAAGAGTAACAGAGGCAAAAACAGCCTACGTAAAAAAATGTGTGCAAAGGCGTTCAAAGTTAACGATCAAAACTTATTATATTATAAACATAAGCTTTATAATACGTCTCAACAACTTCGTATAACTGTAAAAAAAAATATTACCTTCAGACGTAGAATATTCATTGGATTTCCATCTTCATCATGAACACTATGTTCCCAGAGCAAGGATTCTATACAGTTTTCAAACAGTTTACGATTAAATGGATGAGTGAACTCTAAAGTCACTGTAGATACTTTCTAAAAGTAATAGTTTCCAAAAATGTGTAACTTAACATACATGGTTTAAGTGATTTGTTGTCAATTCTGTAGATGGAATGAAGATATCTGGTCTGGGGCTACAACAAAAATCAATTTATAGTAATATTTTTGGAAATACAACCTGACATTTAATCGTTAAGTGAATTAACAACAACAACACAACAAATCAATGAAGTACACAAATTTTTTTTACTGGGGAGGTACTTCGCTCACATCACATGTAAGATGATGCTACAAGACTGATCTGTACCAACTTTTAGTTCGAGGGTAGACAGTGAAATGACCACTTCAATTATTATGGAACGTGCAACAACTTAACTGGTTTTCGACGAAATTTCAAACCAGGCAATAAAGATTCGCCTGGAATTTATGAAATCGTGTTACTTTCAGCGCATACGGCATATACAGCTACTTTTCAAAAGGCGTACATCATATACTGCAGTTTGCTTTGTCCTACTTTATATCTATGAGTCATGTTTTCTGAAGGTACAGTATATAAGTGTGGATCACACACTGTGCTGCATAAAAGGTTTGTTTCAGACAACGTTTATTCCTGGAATAATGTAGACATATAAGTGTAGGGTCTAAAAAAGTTAGCTTGACGAATATTCCATCTCCAATAATTAGTGTTTTGTGATGATGTTTTGAGAAGTATATGTCGGAAGTAAAGAATGTTCATTTCCACCACTGTTTGTATTTATCTAGTGCTATACTTAGTGTTGTGAACCAGATTACATTGGATATTCTGAGGTAGTCATCCTGAGATGCGCAACTGAATACGATTCGATTGTTTTATGAAATACTAACACACGAGGACAAAGTCTTCTATTAATGAACACCTTCTTGAGTCAGGTTACTCAGTACCTTTAAGGTTATCTAATGAGATGAATTCAGCCACAGTAGCAGTTTCCTTTTTTTTACTAATATTTGGCCAGAGTGTTAGCTATGTATAAATAAAAACCTAAACTACATATTGAGAAATTTTTCAACCCTTTTCCTTTACCTAAGCTATAATAATGTTCTTTCCGATCAGTTTCATTCTACTTTATTTTATTTCCTGTTATTGTCACACCAACTGACCTACTTTAGACCTCTTAATACTAGAGTATTTCTTTAACAATCTTTCTTAGTTGTGTAATTCATCCACTTTGAGTCTGTTCCCTTAAACATCATTTTAAGTATCTAGCGAGTAATGCTTTGTGTCATCTACTGTCCTTTTGGTGCGATATAAATACCAGTTCATAGCTTGAAAATGAAGTCATTTTAAAGAAATGCTTCTCTGCTGAATAAATCTGTTTTTCTTTATTTGGGAATAATTGGACGTATTTCATTTAAACGTCAAGAGCCAAGTTACCAAGGTAGACAAAGACGGACTACGGCTTCTTTTAGAATGCGAAAATGAGGTTTTAGAGATTTCCTAGCAATGACTTCTAAGAAGTTCAAGGGGACTGAACTTTGTTAATCGTTTATTACCATAAAGGAATTTTAGATGTCTGCCTAATTCAGACATGAAGAGTGGAGAATTCTCATAAGCAAGTTTATAAAACTCACACAAAAACCACAACTGCTTAGCAATAACAGCGTATTCTCCTCACAATCAAAGTCAGATTATGCTATGACTTTTAAATAGTTTTCCAAATTATTCCTTATCCACTAAAAAATGCATTTCCAATAATTAGTCACAGCATTACAAAAGCAGGCACTTGTATTTAAAAAATAAACAAATAAGAAATATTTTCTATGATACTTACTCTCAGATAGTTTCTATGTCAACGCCATGGTTACACGTTCGTATCAAACAGAGAAAGATATCTTTTCTCCTTCAGCAAATGGGTAGCCATTAATACAATGAATGTTTTTATTATAAATACCCTTTGCTGTATATCATGCTGCACTTCTTCATAAATACTTAATGAATATGTAATCAGCTTGGTGCCTTATATCCCGATGCGAACGTTTTCACATATAATAAAATATAAAAGTTCTGATGTAGCATCCCAATTAATTAATGGAGAAATGAATGGCTATCTCATCAAGTTGGGCTTATTAAAACGACTGATGCAACAAGATATGAGTTCCACCATTAATAAAAGAAAACTATTTCTGCATTATGGCAGCAAAGGCACTTATCATTTGATATAATCTAATTATAACTTGCTAATTAATGCGACTGGAAATGAGTCTGCCCCCGATGTTTATACGTATAAATTTCATCTTTATTGTTATTCTCCACCCAAGTTATCTTGTGTCAAAATGTCTTTATTTAATACTCCAGGACTTTTTATTTACTAAAGATAAATTGTAGTCACCATAATGCAGTACACAGATGATTACTGGTTGATTACTTAGGTAAATCTATGAATTATCTTATCTACTAGGTGACACTTAAATCTAGAGTTTTTCATTACAGTTTTAAAGTATTTAAAACAGTAAACCGAGGTGCAGAAATATTCTTATCTATAAGTAATTTGCGGTCACACCCATTACTACCATTACTATATATATATATATATATATATATATATATATATATATATATATATATATATATATTTTAATTAATTTCCCTGAAGAAGTTTGGACTAGTTTGCCGAAAGAAATGTTGGAACTACTCATTTTAATTCCACTCAGATTTCACGAGTATAATTTCTAAAAAAAAAGTGTCTGAACCTCATTATTTGCAGTTATCCAGGTAAAAAGTCAGTTCTACATATCTAAGGTTCAGAATTCTTAGTCGGAGTGCAGAACACTTCATTATCATGAATAATAAGTCAACTTGAACAGAGAAAAATAAGCATCCTACTGATTTCACTTGGCTTACTAATTATTTCCAACCATTTTAGACTGTGCGAATTAATTTTCGTAACTTTTGAATATCGATAGTCTTGAGAAAAAGTATCAAGAGAACAACATGTGGATGATTCGTATGCGAAAATGATCTTAAAAAAATAGGGACCGTTAACTTTTTCACTTTATTTTTAGTAAACTGATTAGATAATAAATGGAAGCAAGTATAACCCATCTGGCGTCAAACTTTACCTTCAGTTTAAAAGGCTATAGAATCATGCTAGAAGACAAGATGCCTCCGTGGTTTTTTGCGCTTGGGTAGCAGGTCAGAAGTGAAGTGTATGGCTACGATCAATTTTATGACGTAGATTATGGCTTAATGAAATTGACCGAATCCACATGGTTGTTTGAATAGTGTATGCAAGAAGGCGTGCAATAAGGTAGCTGTTTCAAAGTAGTCTAATGTAACTACATGTAAAAATGGAGTAAACAGTTCTAATAGCTATTTTAAATCATAATTGTTGATTGAATATGAATCAGAAATGATCTCACGATAGTCGCATGAATTTGATTGTATTTTACTGTTAACACTAATATTATTTCTGAATATACTTTATCTTATATTATTATTATTCCCTTCCATTACGAGTGGAATATGAGGCTTCAACAACACATCTCCACTTTCTTCTATTTTCTGACGGCCCCTTCAGCCCCGATTTGTCAACTCCTTCTCGCACGACCTCTGATATGTCACCCTCGCACTGACGGCCCACTCATCGCTTCACGAAGGGCCCGGTGCGCGATGTAATTCCACGGTCTCCTCAATGTATATCTGATCTATCTCCACTTTTTCCTGCATATTTGTTGGCCAATCTCCTCTCGGTTGGTTTGTTCCCACAGTTCCTTGTTACTAATTATCTCTGGCCATTTGATCTCCAGTATGCAGCTAGTGAAGGCGACTGTTAATGAAAGTCTGTAAACTGACAGAAATCCTTTTGTGACACGCACTGCAGGTTTCTGACCTGTATAGATGGGCTGACTTCTCAGTGATGTTGAAAATTCGAATCTTGTTCCTTATGTTGAGTGTAAAAGATTTCCGAATTGTTTAACTCTCCAAAGACTTACCTATCAGAGTACACCTTAAGATCGAGAATATTCGCTAAATTCACTCTGAAAAAAATCAAAGAAAAAAATTAGAATTTGAATATATTAGAGCTAAATAATAATAAACGAAACATCAATAACCTCTATTAGATCCACAACTACAGACCACCAGAACGTGGAAAAACCTACAAAAAGCATTAGATTTAATCACCACTATCTCAGTATACGAATCATATTTTGCCTTTGTCTACTTTACCCATTTGTTATAATTGGATTAGGAGCAAACAATTGTACACATCTCCGTAGTATTTCTCAAAATGAGAAATCAACTTGAGACTGCACACAAAGTTCTATCAGTTCAATATATCACGCTTCAAAGCAGAATACAAAAGCGAAGATGATGGAAGTAGGAAAGTACAATAGTGGTAAAGCATGAATGTGAGAGGAAAGAAGAACTAAATGAAGATAAGAGATGTTCGGAGTCCTGAAGGTGATGAGAAGTGGGCAGCCGGGAAGTAACAAACGCCCTCACAATCCGGAATGCACACAAAACCTCTCTAATCCTCACAATCCGAAATGAGAAGTGGGAGCATATGCAACATTTTAAGTGTTTTTGAAACATGGCACCAAGATTGTCTAGACCACTGATTCTTAATGCCTTGTGCACCAGGACCATGTTATCATTTGAATGTCAGACTGAATCAGTTCTCTCATCTAATGGTATCACGTTTTAGTCCAACGATCTCTAACTTCTATGACTTCTGAATAGTGCTTATAAACAATGCACTTTCGACAACTTCGTAGTTAAATCCCTGGTCACAAGATTATATGAGAGCGTGAATTCAACGAAGCGAGCAAGTGACAGTTCTCTAATGATAATATTGGAAGTAGTATCGAGGATAAATAGAACACCAACTTAGACAGATTAGTAAACATCTATCAAAGCAATAATTAATGAGCAAATTTAAGGCTACATAGCACTAACAACTTTGAAACTTAATGCCAGTTCCGTATCTCAACATATTTAACGGATGTCTGAGCTCACATCGCACTCGCTATAGTCAATGAAAATTTGCAGCATTCATTGATTTCCGGTATTTAAGTAACACTAAACGTAACCTCACCATAATGTACTAAGTACTGAGATTACACCTGTGGCGAAAAGTGCAATATCAAACCTCAATAAGTCTGTTGATTAATAACATCATGTATGTCTCTTCTAATATGGTTTCGGACCATAATGTTTTTCGAATGATTGAGAAGTCAGAAGTGAACAGATCAAAAGGCAGTCTTTTTCCATTATGAGAAATATCTGTCTGACTACAGTCAGTATATGTAGTGTCTGTAACCAGTTGTCTGGTCGATCCCTTGAAATTCTATGACCAATTGTTAGAGGAACTTATTGATATTCAAATGTTATGCTGTGCTACAACTCAAGCGACCAGAACAGATATCCCGTGAACCGAGCCATGGATTACATTATGTGAGGACCGATGATACTACCTAGTTGCCCATGTTGAAGTAGATAAAACAGGATTATTTAAATATCACACTGGAATTATATTCGTCACAGTGCTGAAATTCTACTCTAATATCACTGGCATTTTACGGTTCTGAAAAACATGCTATTCAAGTTGCTTTACGTTTTCTACTTTAGGATTAATAACACCCATAAACACTAGTTACATCTGAGTGTCTTCATTCGCGAGGCAAAATAAACAGTTTCTGAGCCCGAACCTCACTTCACTTAAATCCCAGTCATTTAATGCATAAAAGGGTTAAAAAAGTAAAAGTTGTGTTTTATATTTATCCTTTATGATCTAGAGAGTCTAATGCTATGCACACATCAGCTAGTTGACGAAAATTAGTCAAAGAACCTTATGCATATGGAGTGAATTTTTTTGTGTCGTTTCATTATTATTTCAATGAAACACAAAAAACTTGGTACAATGTAGCACCAAGAAGATGCGCCACACAATAATCATAAAACAGCATAGATTAAAAATAAAAATACAGGTGCAGAACGGATAGAGAAATTAATCTGCAAGGAAACAGTCATACTTAACAAGGTCAAACAGCCTTCATCAACTATCCTCGGGAAGGAAAGAAAGAAGGAAATTGCAACACATTCGCCATTGATTACGATTCTTGGCCATATCCGATAACGTTTCGAGCTATCTCTTGAACTTCAACTACGGATTCGTGACGCACCAACCGATGGTAACCTAGCACAAATATCCTTCATCCCACGGAGCCATGTCATAGGCTGACCATCTATCCGTATTTTTCACTGTATCCCAAGACTAGCGAACAGACACCTGTGCAGAAGCCTCAGGGATGACATTCGCAGCACATTTCCAAGCCACTGAAACCAGTGTCTCCAGATGAAAACACTCAGTGAATGGTGATCTCCACTGTGTTCAAACACACGTCACCGAACCTCAGAATTATACACGCGATGATAACATCGAACGCAAGTAATCCTGTGGAGACAGCAACGATAGAATACCCAGAGCCGCTGGACATCCTCAGATCGGAGAGGCCAGGTTTCACAGGCGTAGAGCAAGACAGTCCGCACCGAAGCACAACACACTCGACCTTTGAGGGCCAGGCTAACGTTGCAGCTGTGCCAGAGGTGGTTCAAATTATTGCACGCCACCCTAGGGCTTCATGAAACGGTTGGAAATTTCATCCATTGTACCTCCACCAGCACACGCACAACTATCCAAATACACAAACTAATCAACATGCACAGTCTCCCATACTTTTCTGATTAATCCAGTTATAGTCATTTCAAGAGTCTCGCCACCACCTTTAAAATAAGCCAGGGGTAGATTGCCTGGGCTGGGTGCCTTGTGGCGTTCCAGTACCTGGAATTCCTTCCAGAGCTCCGTCTAGATTAATAGGTTGGTGCTGACCGAACAAGTAGCAATGGAGCTGGTGACAGTAGATACTGAAGCGGATGGCCAGCCAAACTGTTTCTCGAAGTGCTCTGCCCAGCGTTCCAGGAGTCTTTTCAGGCTGGTAATCGGCGTGCCATCTGCCCCACAGACCGTCTCGCTGACACCTTGTTTCTTGCTGCCGGTGGCTAGGATGAGCTTCAGACTGTTGCCAGATGCAGCAGCTGACTCCATCTGATCACCAGGCTTTCCCGTCCTTACGGAAACACTGTCTAATCTTGCGCGTAAGCGCCTTTAGTTCACTGCTGTATTCGCTTTCAGCCGGAATAGATCAGCTTTCATCCAGGAGTTGCAAGGAAATCGCAGAAACCCAGTGGTTGTTAGCGGAGCATTCTTTCAAGCCACAAGCGGCTACACTCGCCATTTGAATGGCACCTTGCAGATGAAGCCAATGTTCATCTATACTATTCGGGGGTTGCTAGCAAGCGTTGATTGTAACTCAGCCTGATATTTCAAAGAGATAGTAGGTGCTACCAACAGCTCACATCAACGTTTAGATGACGCCGTTTATGAACCCCACCAAATCGCAAGACGAACCTGGCACACACTAACGCATGATCGGAGTCCAAGCATGTGCTCCGTAAAGAGCGGAGAGTCTTGTATGCATCCTTGCCATCGGAAATCGACAGCAATATGATCAATCTTAGTCCAAGCTTGATTAGCAGAGGGAGGACACCAGGTAGCGCCACTGCAATGGCTGTGCCAGAAGTTGGTACTGGTTAGAAATAGGTTGTGATCTCCTCAAAGCTGCAGAAGATGGTACCCATTATCTGACCTGCAACCATGTAGACTCCACTGACCACCTAGACGATTCTCCTCTTAGGTTAGACGCCTGACCTGTGCATTCAAGTCCCAAGCCAGCACTACAATATCCCTCCGACGCGCCTGTTTGAATAGATCGCTCAGTTGGTAGTATAACTCATCCTTAATTGCATCCAGGCTGTAATCCGTCGGTGCATAGGCAGAGACAAAAAATAGACACTGTTCGAATAATTAGAGGAGAGAAAGGACTAGTTTGTTTTCACCACAGAGCCAATGAGTTGGTGACGTAGGGTCTCCTCCCTATCGACTATGAACAGCAGTAAGCAGTGTCGGATTTTTATATACTTTCCTTTCAGGAAGAGAAGACCGTCTTCGGGTTTATGCCCAAGTAACACGTCTAAATAATAGTTCATCGGTAGGCAATTCGTGTGAACAATTATTACATGGTTTGTGTTAACTTAGGGGATATATTAAATAATCTTCGTCGAACAAAACACTGTTCAGCGTTCTACGAAATTCTTATTATATGATTAGCAAGATCAGAGTTTTGACAAATACACTAATGTTTTCATTACAGTAGCCCTACACCCATTTGAAAAAAAATGTTGGTTACTCAATCACTTTCCTAATATTTTGGAATGACCGTTTTAAACGAGACATTTTTAAAATACTGAGACTCACTTGGAATAAGTAGCTTCAATAATTTTCGCAGAAGAATTAATCTCTCTAAAACGAAGAAAGAAATATAAAATTTTTAAAAAAGTTAAGAAAAATTCATGCCAACCACAATGAAGATGTTTAAAGACAATTTTACGAACTCATGAATTGAGTTTCAAAAATAAAAATGCCAATCGTGAAATCCATGTGACTGATGTGCCAGTAAGCTGAACATTTTGTAGATAATTCTCTACATTGGTTGGAGGGTTTCATCATGAGCTGGCATCGGTTACAGAACCATTGGAAAGCCAAGGAGTAGTGGATAGCTGTTTCATCTTAGCTTGGGACTCCTCACAGTACGCAGCCATCGGGGTTTGAATGCACGGCACGGCAGATTGAAGGTGAGGCATTAGCTCATGGAAGAAGATGTGACGTAGTGGCCGCCCTATGTCATGAATTGGCAGAAGTTAAAATTCATGGGCTGGTCATTGGATCGGGTCGTAGTGGCTTAATGGTCTACGAGCTCGTCTTGTAACCAGAGGGTCATGGGTTCAAACCCCATGGTGTGGGTGCGTACTGCTGGAGAGCCCCGAAATGCGACGAAACAGCTGTCTAGCACGGTTCTCTAACTGATGTCAGCCCATGATGAAATCCTCCATGCAATCAACCAAAATCCCTACGAAAACCAATACTTGAAAATTCCCTACATAACGAAGTTTCAGGGATGATGTGAACACTGTTAGTCAATCAAATTTTGAAGTAAAATTTGACTAGCTTTTCCCCTTAGCTTAGAAGAAAATCAATATTAGACTTGGGATTCTAAAATGAAGGCTGAATAAACTAACCGACGATTGATTACGCTGTACTGTACAACACTGTGATTCATCAAAATAAAATCTGATCCATAATGGAGTTAATTTAATAACCGATCTAAAAACCCTTCATAGTTGAACAACAAATCAAATATCAGATAAGACTTCTTAATTAGTAACAGCGATGAAAAGGAGTTTGGTCTGAATAGACACAACTGCACGATAAAACGCTCATCGGTATGTAATGCCGAAATTCAAATTACAACAAGTATCAGGCCTTTGGCTTTTTTTTTAATTTTCGAATTAACATGCGTAATACAAGGTTTTCAGTTATTCATTTCATTTCTTTGATTCTTGGTCGACGGTTCTTACCATGCAATAAACCACAAGAGTAACACAGTGACGGCTCACACCGCTTATTGACAATCACCATAGAAACCCAACAGTAATTTCGAGAAGACTTTTGTGTCCAGAAAGATAACAATCCACCAATTAAAAAGCATAACTACTAAGACAATGAAACTGAACGTTCTGCTAAAAAAAATAACCACATTAGAGTTAGTAGATAGCGTCTACTTTACTAAATAAAATGACTTACTTTATACGCTGAACAACTGCTAATTTTTCTGACTCAGAAATTAAATCAATTTTGTTAACAATGAGTACATCCGCCAAAACTATCTGTCTGGATTAATAAAATAAGTATAAGGAATTTAGACTACCTTTCATATTCACTCATTTCACTCTCTAGAGTTTCTTTAAGATGTGATAGACATTGTTTTGAATCCAACAACGTCACAATGCCATCCAAACAAACTTGACTGCATAAACTTTCATCCAACCAGAAGAGTGAAGCGATAGGACCTTTACAGAAAGAAATATTTTTTCGTAAAAAAATAACCTGGATCAGCAAGCCCAGATGCTTCAATCAAAACATAATCAAATTTTCCTTTCCTCTTCATTAAATTTTCGATAGCTCTTACACTTGTATCCTTAAGGGAACAACATAAACAGCCATTGCGCAGTTCGATCCATTCCTCAAAAAGATTTCCATCCTTTTCGTTCCATGCAACAGTGGACTCCACAGCTGAACCTTCACCGAAATCGTTTAAAAGAACAGCTATTCTTTTATTGTGGGCAGAAGCCAATATATAATTCAGGAGAGTCGTCTTCCCAGCACCTGAAATTCATGATTTAATTTTTGTTACCAGTGAGATTTTGAAAATGTAAACTAATGACAAAAATTAATTAGACATTAAGAATATAATTTGCAAATGGAACGGTTGTTGTCTACATAGTTCCTAGTTAATAATCAGTTTTGATAAACTGAAAAAATGCAAAAGAATAAAGCAATACAAACTAGGAACTCATCTATGCACATTTCTTAAGGAAAACAATACACTAATAAACACATGTTAGCCGGTTGAAAGCAATCGGCGAGAAGCCCTAACTGTAGGTTTCGTGATTATTGGTAATCATCAACATGTAACCTCTCTATCTTGGAGGCTCAGACATGCGCTACCCAGTGACTGAGTCACCGACTTTAACAGTGAACAATTCGGCCTCACGACTCATCGCTGGTAGGATATATTAACAGGTTACTGGAAAGTAATCACTGTCATATATCCTGAATTCTCTCAATTAAGTCTGCGGGTACGCCTTGCTGATAAGTGCCGACTGTTTCTAGCCACTTAACATCACTTCAAAGTCACCTACCTTGGCAAATTCCCTGCAAAACTGACTGACAAAATTCAGTTAGAACTAGGCGAATAGCGTTGTTCACTCACTAGCAACCAATCAATGAACACTGACAAACTGCTTTGAATATATGGTTTGGTGACAATTAGCTTCGAATCACACCAGATAATCATACAAACACTGTAGTGAAATAATTTTTGTCTCTACGAGTGCTTCAACTTAGTAGCTATCTAGTCGTTATCAGTAGTAACCTTTGAGAAGCAACACAAGGACTTGAATAAGATGCAGTAAGAAGAAGTGGAAACACATAAACATGCCAAACGAATTCTTGGGTACACTTTATCGAAGAACGTCAAAACATAAATTTAGGAAACACTATCAGTGCTTTTTGGATGCTTATTCAATTAATCGCAACTTTTCCCAAAACTTTAATTCGAAAAGTACTGCATACGCAAAATATTTTTCCCTATGCAAAATGTAAGACCGATACCATTTTAATGGCGTCATATTTCATAGCCAAGCATATGCAGAGATATTGCATCAACCAGTAGTCATTGAAATAAAGCAGACGACGTATACAAACAGACCACTTTTTAATAACATCTATGGAGAATAATGGTGGAAGATTGCAGCTCCTGGGGTATCTTGTGAGACTATCAGTCCCACATTAGTCCACAGACTTATGCACCAATAACAAACTATACGCAAACACCAGAATACAAAAATGCCAAACAGCTGTGACGCACTTTTTTATTTCTTAACGTTCCTAGTGGAACATAGGGCTTCAAGCTAGTGGCTTGAAGTTTCTGTAGCAGTGGTGTTTACTTTTACGGGAAGGGGTTGCTAGCCTCATGCCTAACCTTTCCTATCTACCAGACTTATTACTAGCTTAGTGTGGTAAAGGAGTGCGTCCGCCGGGGATCGAACCCTGAAACACATGCGTGGTCGCCGACCATTCTACCACGATACCACCGACGCCCTAAAGCCTACACTTTTTTTAACGGACTAATGCAAGAAGACTGGTCTTAGTGGTTTGTAAACATGACGAGAACTCGAAGCTGTTTAAGAGTAAACCGACTAAATTTCTTTGTAAGAAGCACAAGAAATAGTAAGCAAAGAAGGAGAACGAGAGGGAAGAGGTGTCACAACTGTGTCAGCTTATTAAGGAAACAGGTTTAAGAAAAGCCATAACAAGTGAGACCATGGAGCTCTGATAACTTCTTCAGGGTGATAATTACTTTATTTATTTATTCGCTTAAACACGAAGAGATGTGGTGCAGGATTCATGACTAGGATGATGAGGACACTTTGAGGAGCCGTTTAGCTTGCGTGTAGTTGCACTACACCTACACATTAGCCACCTTCAGCCAAAATAGAATACAGACGTTAGTCCTCAACCCCCACAATGCTAGCGAAACCTATCTTTGATCTGATGTGAGAAAGCAGCAAGACATAATTGTTTGGTAATGAATTACTGGCTACAGTGACTGAAGTGCTAGTTCGACTACGGAAACCCAACATGGTCCCAACAAACTAGTGGGGACTACTGATTATGCCATTTTCTAAAAAAGGGAACTATTCTTTCCGTTATGATCACTGTAAAATCAGTTTAACTAAACTAGTACCTAAGCTTCCAGAGTTCATGGTCGTGCAAAGACGAAACACATCCCAGGAAACTAAAAGTCTCAGGATCGGGTGACAATTTAAAGGTCAAACCTTTAGCTCTTTTTGAAAAATTTCATTGCATAAGCATCCTTGCAGTTGTAAAACATTTAACATATTTCTTGACCTTGGGGTGGTATTGAGTCAGTGCAGCGAGAGATGCCGTAGCAAATGTTTAGTTATGGTGGGAGTCCAAAATGTATTATTTTAATACAGTCGTCCAATTCGCATTCATGCATCCGTTTAAGAAAGTAAGGGAATCTTAATTTGAAGTGACTATAAGTGGTGCTCGTCAGGAATGCCGACTGACACTTTTATTTAATTTCGATACACATGCATTGATCTAATTGAATAAAATGTGCCAAGAATTCGCTAGATATAAGGAGAGTCTCGCTGTTTCGGAACACGCAGTATGTGATGCTTTTAAACGAAACCTCAACGAAATTCAGGATACGAGCTTTGCTAACTCATTTCTTAAAGGAAATGAATTTGTTTAATGTAGCTACTTCATTAGACCAAGAAATGGTTTTTTATAATCCTGTAAATTTTGTAAATGTAGTCGTCCCGCCTGTTGTGTTGGAATGCTGTGCATGGTAAGATATCAAGACTGGCCTTGCTTGTTTGTCATTCAAGTACATTAAAATCATCATCCTGCATATGTACCCATTTTTCACCTTGCAACTACGCTACTGTCTCTTTTTCACTAACACTGAAACATGGAAATGTTGGTCTCATCTGCAAAAGACTGATGGCTTTCTAAAATATATTATAGAAGAGTTGGTAAAGGTTCAAAGAATAGCCGAAAAGTATGCACAAAAGTGCAACAGTTCAAACCGTCACACTTTTAAATGGCATACATACTAGGAAATCACATGAGCAGAACGACACAAAATTGAAAGAAAGAGGACAAATTAATTACCTTCCTCACAATCTCGGAGAAGAGGTTCACTCGTTTCTGCCAGTGGATCACAGGTTTTAATCCTGTTTCATCTACTTCAACATGGGCAACTAGGTAGTATCATCGGTCCTCACATAATGTAATCCATGGCTCGGTTCACGGGATATCTGTTCTGGTCGCTTGAGTTGTAGCACAGCATAACATTTGAATATCAATAAGTTCCTCTAACAATTGGTCATAGAATTTCAAGGGATCGACCAGACAACTGGTTACAGACACTACATATACTGACTGTAGTCAGACAGATATTTCTCATAATGGAAAAAGACTGCCTTTTGATCTGTTCACTTCTGACTTCTCAATCATTCGAAAAACATTATGGTCCGAAACCATATTAGAAGAGACATACATGATGTTATTAATCAACAGACTTATTGAGGTTTGATATTGCACTTTTCGCCACAGGTGTAATCTCAGTACTTAGTACATTATGGTGAGGTTACGTTTAGTGTTACTTAAATACCGGAAATCAATGAATGCTGCAAATTTTCATTGACTATAGCGAGTGCGATGTGAGCTCAGACATCCGTTAAATATGTTGAGATACGGAACTGGCATTAAGTTTCAAAGTTGTTAGTGCTATGTAGCCTTAAATTTGCTCATTAATTATTGCTTTGATAGATGTTTACTAATCTGTCTAAGTTGGTGTTCTATTTATCCTCGATACTACTTCCAATATTATCATTAGAGAACTGTCACTTGCTCGCTTCGTTGAATTCACGCTCTCATATAATCTTGTGACCAGGGATTTAACTACGAAGTTGTCGAAAGTGCATTGTTTATAAGCACTATTCAGAAGTCATAGAAGTTAGAGATCGTTGGACTAAAACGTGATACCATTAGATGAGAGAACTGATTCAGTCTGACATTCAAATGATAACATGGTCCTGGTGCACAAGGCATTAAGAATCAGTGGTCTAGACAATCTTGGTGCCATGTTTCAAAAACACTTAAAATGTTGCATATGCTCCCACTTCTCATTTCGGATTGTGAGGATTAGAGAGGTTTTGTGTGCATTCCGGATTGTGAGGGCGTTTGTTACTTCCCGGCTGCCCACTTCTCATCACCTTCAGGACTCCGAACATCTCTTATCTTCATTTAGTTCTTTCTTTCCTCTCACATTCATGCTTTACCACTATTGTACTTTCCTACTTCCATCATCTTCGCTTTTGTATTCTGCTTTGAAGCGTGATATATTGAACTGATAGAACTTTGTGTGCAGTCTCAAGTTGATTTCTCATTTTGAGAAATACTACGGAGATGTGTACAATTGTTTGCTCCTAATCCAATTATAACAAATGGGTAAAGTAGACAAAGGCAAAATATGATTCGTATACTGAGATAGTGGTGAATTAAACCAACGAAAGATTAACTGTTTGGAAACTAGACAGCAACCTAGCAACTGACTGAAACTGATGGTGAAGATTAAAGGTATCAAATAAACCGAAAAGTCAAGAAAACTAGTTTTTAAAGCGATGTCAATGAACATAAAGAATTCAATCATCATTAATTGTAAACCTACCTAGGTATCCTGAGAGAATCGTTACAGGAACTTTCTCAGAACTGAAATTACTGGGTTCTGTATCGTCCACCAAATCAGGGATGAGTTCCTCCATCAGCGGCAGAAAGTTAAATGGCCTAATTTAATGCTTTCCGTGTTTGAAAGATTGAGGTGTAATGACACACGTGAGCTTCTGAAAGAAAAGCAACAAAAGTCAATAGAGCAGGATATAATGAATTCACCAAATCTCGGTAGAACTCTTCAGATGGATGATCTATATAGAGGTATAAAATTAAGATAAAATGCATTACGGTTCAATTACAATTGGTTATCAGTGAGTGAAGGATCTCAATAATATTGATGATTATGGTAACGCTGATAACAGTAACAATAATAACCAATAATAATGTTAAAACAAATTAAGTTAATAGTAATGATAGAAGTTTTCGATGAATCAGAAATATTGGTAAAAAGAGGTAAAATAATATATTGTTAATAATAGTAAGTTAACAATTAAAACACATAACCATGGTATATCCACAGTGACCATTATTTCTAAAAGAGTAATAACATGTTAAATTCTGTGCTGCAAGAGTAACATTATTACGTTGTACGCAGACGACTGACTGCAGTCAAAATCATTCAGAGTAATATTTGCACTATTTATTTCTCACAGCCATATGGTCATTTTCTTAGCTAACATGAAGCAATACAGCTGAAATTATTCTCATGTCCCACAGATATTTGACATTATATGGAAATACCACAACTTTAACACATGTATCACGTTATTCCCAGTCCTCCTATTCCTTTAGAAAAGTAGCAGAAAAGCAATACCAAATCAATTTTATTTGTGGCAGTATTTTCGTGTGCTATATAAAATTCTATGTATAACAGCGCAAAGAACTTGTTTCATTGGTGACTTTTCCAAATAACATTAACAATAACTAAAGTTAACAGTTATGATGGTAGAGCTTGAAAATAGGTGACAGCAGGTATGAAATTAAGCTCGCATTTCTGTTACTGTCTGTTAAGTTAGTTTGTAACATCTCCAAAAGCTGCTAGTTAAGCAGGATATGGTCCTGATTCTACTTAACCCTAAATAGATAGAATCTTATACATTTGCTCTTTGTATATATCTTTAGGAAGGCACAGAATTAGGTCATCAATGGAAATGATTATCATCCGATGAGTTTTATTATTTGTTTGCATGGGTTGTGATATTTGAGCAGTGAACTGAAATGTAGGACTTCACACAGAAGTGCAGCAATTCAAGTGACTATAATTCATGAAGCGCAGAAAGGTAGGGAAGAAAATTGTACAGAAACCACAAAAAGCGGAAATGTGCCATAGAAAGAATAATCACATGGAGAAGAATGAGAATTTAATAAGTGAAACCCTTAGTTTGCAATGTACACAGTTCGAGCAGTAAAATTTTCACCACAATTTCCTTTGAACACCACGTTTTCCAGATCACAGTATGTAATACCAAAAGTGGTAATCAATATTGAGGTGATCTAAACACTGAACACTGCTCGTTTGGGCTGAGCTTATTAGCGATCTACTCGGTTTGAGAGACTGGTGGGTCTAGAAATCAAAAACAATCGGTGCATTTGTGTTACAATAATTTTGAGTTACACTGCCGACTGTCTCCTAATATTAGTTCTTAGTGTCTCGGCGACCCCCGCCAAGCAGTCTTTACCTCCCCAAGTGGCGAAACCCATAGCCAACCAACCAAACCGAAAATCTGTTAGCATTTCTCGCCGACAAACGCAGTGATTTGACGTGCATAACGTGCTCTAGCCATCCCAATCAATGCAGTTTTAAAACCTCATTGACTGACCCTCCATTCTTAAATAACTCTAGGCCCAACCCGCTATTACTTGTCATTTGGCTAAGAAAGAAAGCAAACACCAGTTGTTAAATAAGGCTACTGTGTTTGTACACGTCTATTTTATTCATCTAATTAGATGAATTCGACCTAAGTATCACAGTAAGTGATAACCTGAAAAATACGGCATATTCACCCAGTATCATCAAGTAGTGTTAGATATCTATAAGCAATACGCAGGATCTTTACCAGGACATGTCTGATTCATAGAATGATAAATGTACCATATGAGGAACAACTCGACAGCTTAACTCTCTTCTTATCAGACCTACGGCAAAGTGCAGAACTAAACACAATGTAAAAAATCTAAAAAGCGGCTGTCACAGTCGGAGAATTTTTTCGGACCTAGGATATATGGGTAACAACGTGGGCAGTTTGCCGTTCAAAACTGGGCAAAGTGGACTGTTTTTGGTTGTAACGTGTGTTAAGTGTGCGTTGGAAATGTGGGACAATAAAATTTTTAAGACATGGGCAAAGGAGGGAAAGTGGCCAATATTGATAAATTGAGTTAGTTATGTGGCATTTTAACCCTCTTTTTCCTAAGTTTTGCCGATCAAAATTACCCGTTTAGCCCACTTTCGCCCACATTATCCAAGTGCATCCTCTGACTGGGATGGACCTAGTCTACCGTCCTTTTGCCTTCCATGAAGATGCAATATCACAAAGGACATCTCGTGTTTTAGTAACAATAGTTTTTAGCATGAAGCTAGCGCTAGATAGCAACGCATGTAGATCTACATAGAATATCGATATTCGCCCTTCAAGCTGGAAAATAGCAGTCTTAATAGTACAAAGCATGTTTTTGAGTGAATTAAAAGGCGATTCACTGGAAAATGACGAGATAAACGGTTAGACAACCTACCACTTAGCGCTAAACCGACCAACTGACCAAGCAATAACAGATGTAAGTAAAATAGTTAAAATGTCCGCCTACGATTACAAGGCTTAAGCTTATATTAGCGGTGACGACTTTGAGTGCATTGGAAATCCCTTCCTCTTATGAATGTGCTGATGATCAAATAAATTCGTCAAATTTATCGAACCTTCAGTGAAAAATTTGTTTATATGTGCAGAGTGAAACACAGAGGGGACAGCTGTATTTTCAGAGCAAAACAGCTTCGGTATGGTGAGAATGTATATCTATACACTCTCTTCAAATTATTGACCATAAATAAACCTTTCAGCAGCCTTAAGTGTTATAACATTCAATCTCTAGTTGAGGCAGTGTGAAGAGCAAGAAGTTAGGAGTCCAGAACTAGCTGGATAAATGGCCACACATCAACCGCCAGAGTTATTTTTCATCAAAAGCAACTGAAAAACAAGTTCCGAAAGCTTAAAGCCACCTAACTTACTTGTTTCCTAGAGTTATTCAAGCAGCCTAACTAGCCTGTTTCTATGAAGTGAATCAGCAGGTCCCGAAATGAAACACTAATCTGCTTGCTCTCAAGCTGATACAAAAAACGAACGTGCAAACATAGGTAGTGCAAACGTGTTTCGATATGCCTTTTCATCGGCCGGCATAAATAACTATACACCGTGTACGAATGAGGTCCCATGAACACTGTATGCTATGTAAAAGAAATTATTTGCAGCGACCTTGGAAAAGGCCCATAATGCTGAAAGGCCCATCGTGGCTACTGCACCACACTTAGGATTCAAATTCACTGCTTGAGAACAGAAGGCTTGAGGCCCATGTTCACCCTCTGTAGTGAATTCCTGACGTTTCCCAAGCCCATCTTGAGTGAGTCGTTTGAGGGCTATGACGCCACTTCTTCTGAGGGTTGACTCCAGTATTTTGTGACTTGGTGCGATAACCGGTACTCCACGTTGATGTAGTTCCTCCTTGACTATTGAATTTTCCTGCTATGTTCTCTAAAGAGTTTTCACGCTTTAAGAATCAAAAAGGAAAATAGATCAGGTCCGTTTTCATTCCATGAAATTCCGAACTTTGGAATAAGGTCTCTCTGTCTACGGTATGACAAGGAGAATAGATTCACTGTCAATGGAGTTGAAGATTGAACGATCAATTCATGGTTGTTTGCTCAAAACCAACTTCCCCAATTTTCGCGGAGGCATCAATACGACAGTCATCGTCTCATCGGTCGCTGTTCAGAAAGAAGAGTGAAACATCGTCAGAAACCTTAGTTTGCTTAGTTCGCTTATTCCTTTTATATGTTGGTGTAACAATACAGAAATATCAAACGGCAGATCGGTGTTTTGGTTTTTTCGTCCGTTATAACTAAGCGTTTCTGAAAACTCAAAGGAACAGCGTGGGCCCGAGCGTAGCGAGAGCTGGGCATTAACGGTTTATGAGACGTGATTGACATTCACACTGTCTAATGTTTCGGCCAATGATAAATTCGCCATGCCAAGGATTACGATTTTGTCTTCATTTGCGCTCTTTCTAGGATATGTGCTTCCCCCTCAAGACTTGGACTAGCTGTCTGGACGCAGTTTTCCAGTTTGGACTTCATCACACATGTATATGAGGACGAGGATGTCAAATCGAGAATCGGGAAGGCGAGAAACACATTCATCAGCCTGAAATCAATCTGGAAATCTTCGTCACTCAGCATCACCAACAAAATTCGGATTTTCAACACAAACGTAAAGTCAGTTCTTCTATACGGATCAGAAACTTGGCGGGTCACAAAGAATATTTCCAAAAGGCTGCAGACCTTTATTAACAACTGTCTTCGCTCTATACTGAAGATCAGATGGCCGGGCCGGAAAGAATCACCAACAAGGAATTATAGGAACAAACAAAGCAAGAACCAATCGCCCAACAAATATGCAGGAGAAAGTGGAGATGGATCGGACACTCGCTGAGGAGACCGCTGGGTGACATCGCGCGCCAAGCCCTTGAGTGGAACCCGAAAGGGAAGCGGCGTGTGGGACGTCAGTGCAAGGGTGACATGGAGGAGATCGTGTGAAGAGGAGTTGAAAGAGATGGATAAACATGGATGCAGGCGAAAAGAATTGCAGAAGACAGAAGAAAATGGAGACGTGCAGTTGAAGCCCTATGTTCCACTAGGAATCCAAGGGACCGATAATAATAATACACATGTATATAGAGAAGTGGACGTATCAGTGGTGATTCTAGTGACATACAAATTGCCCACAAAGATCTGAAACTTCGAGCGACACTGTGCCTTGGTGATGACTTATGATGACGTCTAGTTCCATATGTGTCGAAACTGATGGGATCTTTATTCCCTGTAGTTAGCATTGGCTGACGCTTGCGTGCCCAAACCGCAGGTTTGAGCATTTTGCCAAGTTGATCGGAAGCATTTATCCCTCAGACCACTCTGAAATTTTGTTGAGATTTTCTTGCAACGTATACCTGTCACCATCACTCTTCAGATGTCTTCAAGCTTTTAGTCATTTGCGTGGAGGATCCTTGGGATTCGGTTAACACAGGTAACTCACCAATCTACATGACAAATGAGAGGCGACCAGGTAAGGTTCTCTGTCGCACTCCACTACGTTGTGTTGTCCAGGAGGAAAAATTGTTGATTTCGTCTCTTAACTGTGAGCAACACCCTAACCTACTGTTGTAACCTGCCCTTAATTCCAAGACTTTCTGATGTCATCGGCACTCCTGAGCGAGTTACTGTCACGAGCTTCACTGTGATATGAGAAGACAACATCAGTGAGTTTCTTGCCGCTTAATATGCTAGAAGGTTTGTCGTCAATGAGAAGTTTCTTTGAAAACCATGCTGTACTCCGGACAGCAAGTTATTGTTTTCCATATAGGCCATGACTGGTTTCTTAACGATTCTGTCCAACATTTTGGTTAATGCATTGTTAACATGATACGCCTGGAGTTTGCAGGACATTACCTTGATCCTCATTGGTGTATGAGGGCTACAATGACTTCTTTCAAGTCTTGCGGTCGCATTCCACTTAAGAGAGAGAAACTGTAGGTTTTATTTAGTCAGCTGGTCATGTTTTCTGGTAGCCCCTCTCGAAGCCTTGGATGAGATATCGGATGGGACTAACTTCCCCGAACCTAGTTTCTTTGGAGAATAGGATATAATTTTTGGTCAATGTAGACTAAATCTGTCCTATATAACTCCGAGGGGACTGGAGCTGACACTAAAGGGGGTGATGGCTGCTGTGTGGAAACTTAAGAGAGGCAGTCTGTGATTGTCTTGCTTCATACTAGTCTTTCTTGATTGTGCGGTCACCAGTAGTAACGTCTGAGTCGACGATGAATGTATTTATCCTGAGGCTCAGGTGCGAAATAGACTGTTGCGTTGCAATTTCGGCTAGCTTCGTTTCGGACTTCATCTTCGACTGAAGGATTCGTTAAATATCTTAGTTCCAGGAGATGGTGTAAGCTTTATAGCCTAAGAAGCCTTAAGTGTGATAAACAGGTTCGAGGGTTTATGTTTACGCCCGAGTATTATACAGGACTTTAGGAGTATCCATGGGGCACCACGTTTTCAGCCTTGTGGGTAAGTCAAAGTGACGAACAGTTGGGTAAGGAGAACATAAACTTGTCTGGAATGGCTAAATGCGGCCTCTATGCAAATATTAGGACATACGGGCCCGTTCTGTGATTCAACTGCTGAGACAATGGAGTTTATATAAGCCTCCCAGACGTTTGGTCTAATCGTTATTTCGGCTCATAACACTGCTTTAACTGGGAACTTGAAAGGGAGCAGAGCGTGACTGCTGTTACCCAGGATTTGGAGTTGTCTTATGACATCCATATCGGCCTTATGGGATAAAATCAATTCGGAGGGTGAGAAAGAGTGCTGAGTCTTTGAGCTCAGGCTTTGTGACACGCACTGGGGCTAGTAGATCCTAACAGTCCATGGTGAAAAGCAGTTATCTGAGGATGGCCTTTTGAGGCTCATGCAATCAACTGTTCGGCATTGAAATCGTCACCTGAGAGCCTTCGAAATTCGGATGCCTTTGAACCTAGTTTCTACATTAAAAATTTGTCTGGGCTGTAACAAACATTCATTCAGGCATATAGCAATGAGATAGATATCTTGTCCTATACATTTTGGTCTACAGCGTAGAGTTTTGCAGGTCGCACTTTAGTGTAAGATAGCTCCAGTGCTTCGCAAGGCTAGATATGTCTTGAGAGAAACGAATACCCTTTGTGGCTCAGTCGGTCTACCCAATGCATTTTGAAGTTTGAGAGAATCATCCGCCCTGATCTTTGTCACAATTGGTAGATATTACTTATGAAAGAAGATTGCGGAAATAAGTTATATTAATAGGTATTCTTCTTATAAAATGACCTCCTGAGACCTCAAATAGTTACCAGCTAATCATGGTATCTTGCAAAAATGCAAGCAATTCAACGAGGAGGCCCTTTTCTGAGAATTTATTTTTTAACAGAACATTTTCTTGAAAAAGGATAGTAGCAGAATTGACGAGTTTTCACACTCATGGTTGTTCATATTGGTCAATGAATAAGATAAGTGTATCAGTTACGTAATAAGATGAATAATTTGATGGACGATTTGTGGTCAGATATGAAATCGCATAAGTTCTGAAGAAATATAAGACTTACAGATATTATTAAAAGCAAAAGTCAAGTTGTGCGTCGGCGGCATAGCGGTTAGGACGCTCGCCGACCATGCACATGGTCCGGGGTTCGTTCTACAGCCGACGCACCCCTTTACCTCGCTAAGCCAGAAGTATTGCTGGTAAAGATGATAGGTTGGGCATGATGCTAGCAAGCCCATCCTATAAAAATGAACGCTGCTACAGAAACTTCAAGCCACTAGCTTGAAGCCCTGTGTTCCACTGGGAACATGAAGGGAAAAGTATTATTTGTTAATTTAAGTTGATAAAAGTCTCTAAGGTTGTCATCAAGCGCCAGTAACCATCATCGGTGGGAAACCTGGAAGGAAGAACAAACCGGTAATTCGACAAAGAGGTCCTATCAGCTATAGAAAATGGATACTGCAATAAAAACTGCTCAGCGAAAGAATTTGTTTTCTTGTCTTTGTTGATGCCTGAACGTGGATTTTTGGCGACGACACAAGAACTCGATCGACTTCTTCACGTTCATTGTCATCTTCCAACTGCCCACTCAAAATTTGCTACCGAATTTCGCACGGTGTATATCATGTATTTTTTCAAGCTTGAGCTGTTTAGCCATTTGCTTACAGCCTCAAACCATGTTCCTAACTCTCGATAATATATGTAAAGTTTGCGACCTGACTCTTCACAAATTTTCGATAATCTTGATGAAAACACTTTGGAAGATGGCAGCATTATCTAAAACCTGTGACAAATCATCGGATGAATGTTTGTCAAATAACCAGGCAAAAGATGGGCCTCTGTCAATATAATCATTCCGGCTGCCTGTCACTTGTATTGATATTCGCCTAGCGAACCTCCTAAAACACTAATTACATGGGATGACAGTCTACACTATTTAAGCTGCTGCGTTGTTAAGGCAAGATGGGTAGAGCTATAAAAGGGAAGGTGCCAGTTTTATTACTACTTTAATCGAGTCACGACAGTGTATTATCAGTATCTATTGTATTATTGTAGAATGTCGTCCAAAACACTTCTTTAAACACCTTTGTCCATTTAATATCAGCAAATATCTACTGAGTTGTGGTGGTGGATTCAAAGATTTTTGCAGCCACTTCGCTTATGGACGTCTTGTCATAAGCGTCTGGTGACTTCAGTTTTTCTGTTACAGCTTCATACAAGTTAGGGGAAAGCTTTCAGCTATGCTAGTCCACTGGATCATTCAGCTGAACATGTGCTCAAAATGCCCTCGACACATGTTACGCTGTCCGCAGTACTTAACTCTGTTCAATGCATGGCAGGGACTTCGCTCGAAACACACTAAAGTACTCTTTCGTACTTTTTCAAGAGAAATTAGCCTGGATGTTACACATGTGGTAGTACATAATGACTTAAAAGCATAATAAAATAATGAAAGTTGGATTTATTCAAAGCCGGTGAATGCTTGAAGAGATATGTTACTAGCAAAAAAACTACACACTTGCTGTTAACTGGTAGATAACCAGTGTTATGATACTTGTCTCTGGTGTCTCTGCAGTTAGCTCTTAAATGGTAATAGAAGGATGAAGATAACCAGCTGAAGGGCATGGACTTCGCCTTTATGCTTGCTGGTACTAGTCAACGGGGCTGCACTGCGTTTCAATGCATTTTGAACGTTGTGACTGGTAAGTATCACAATACCGTCTCCATCTGTGACAAATTCACCAGATATATTCGTCGTTACTTTGTAGAGTGCACGTCCCATTTTGTGTCAAACAAGCATGCTTTTTTGCAGACTGAGCGTTGTGCTGGTGACTTGTTACGCTATTTTTTTCACCAAAAAACCAGGCTCGATGTGCGTGAACAATGTCCCTCATTGCACTGCTTCAAGTGGCGAGTATCTCTCACCGTCCTTTCGTTTAATTTTCTTCGCATGATTATTGGGACCCACTTTTTTAAGTTGACTTATTACCTGACTATAAGAGTGCTGTTTAATTTTGGTTTGAACTGTTTTAGTCAAATCGTTCAAAATGTGACTATAGGCTTCATTTACAGAAGTAAATAGGACTTATACGGATTAGGTCTTTATTGTGGCTTTTGAAGTAGAAACTAAATCAAGTGTTAAGCAACTTGGACAAATCCTTTCCCTTAATTACTGCACATACTCCCACATCCTTGAGGTTATCAGAAAATCATCTTTTCAACTAATCTACAAGGAGATGGCAGAATTTTTGAGAGTAAATCGGCCTCTGTGTCTGCGGTTCTAACGTAATATGCTTATTAACCTTTGTGAAAAATAGCAGTGGATAAATTTCTTTAAATGGCTCTATATGCTCTTAGAGATGGAATTTCACCAGATATTTCTCTACTGAATTGGAGTCTCAGAATCCACTATTAATACCTAACTTAGGTTGCTTTATTGTGCATATTACTAATATGTTCTCTGGGCGATTATATGGGATATCCCTTGCCACTACTAGAGCTGAATGGGGAGGGAATGTAGTCCCGTGTATTTTAGGTAAACCATGCAATCATGACGCATTATTTTCACTAGATTTTATAAAGTTAAAGCATGTATTAGTGGTGGTGTACAGTGTTAAATACATGTTAAAAATGTCACATGGGGTTTGAAGAGTAGGGATATTTCTGACCTCATTGTGTTAAGATGGTGTACAAATGAAATAAAACGCACTTTTAGTTTAAGTATGACTTTTAGTCGTCGTCTCCCTCATATTTCTTATTATCAGCACTTGCAAGTAGAGTCGGGTCAACAATTAGTGATGCACCAAAACATGGAATAAGGAGATTTATGGAGTGAAGATTGCTTTCTCGTATATTAGCCACAACATTCACCAATGTTATTGCTGGTTACCAGAAAGCATCGAGGAGTATAAGCAGAAAAAACTCAATACAGAATGTGACTGATTTCACACTCTGTTGATATATTCAAATGGATTGTCCCGGGCCCGTTTTTCTGAATGTAATATCTTTCAAGTGCAATAAAGATGTCTTTAAGAAACTCAGCGAAACTTACGCAGTTTATCCAGTCTCGGAAGCATTATCTCATCTTCTAGAATCAATGTTAACCTAAAACCCATCTCGAGCAAACTATTAATTCCTGTTTATTTCAAACTAGAATTGGAGAAATGCATTTTCGCAACGATAGACTATGCGGACGTACGACAGTATAACTCCCTTTGGAAACAATATATAGCAGACGGATTTTAAGCCCACTTACACAATCAGCTGAATATTGGCTAGAGGAAGACTTAAAAATTCAAATTCACAGGGGAGTTTTTCTTCATGTACGACCAAGTGCATCTCATGGTGACCTGAACAGGACTACATAACAGGGCCCAAATATGAGTTTGTGATGAGAAATGCATATTAGAATGGAGTTCTTATCCAGTGTTTCTGATCAGACTAAAGTTAGTGAATATTGAGGCGTAAAATGAATGTGCTCTCTGTTGCATTCTCATATGGACTGTTTTTAACGCCCTCATCCAAGATTTCAGACATTGAATATATATATGATGCTAAATGCATTCAGTGAAAGAAATGGGAATTGGCTAGCCTGGAATCAACCAACTCGTTTCAACAAAGAAGTTAAGGTGCACGACTTGCATCTGGAAACATAACTTCACTCACTTAGAGCGGAATTATCATTGATTCCTCCATGAATTTAATCACATCAAAAGATTTTTACTGCTATTTCACTCACTCCACTTAATACTTCTGTTAATGAAAACTTATATATTCTACTAAAACACAGAAGATATTACTTTTACTGACGTCTTCATATTATGTGCTAAGAGCCAGTATTCACAAACCTGTGTTCTTTTCAGCCTCACTGATGTTAGTTTAAAGAAACCTCCACTCTCATAATCTACTAATGCTATCGGAAATCATAATTGCCACCCTTTCGTTTCATTACATTCGCACAGGTTAGATGGAGTCAGCCAATTACGTTTCGAGTTTCTTCAGGTAGTTTGTCTTCAATTATGCCGATCGTAATCCTGTCATAATACCAGATGTTACGTCGACTCGTTTTAAAGTATTTCTATCATATTGCTTACGGGGTTAGAACATATGTTGCAACTTTTGTTATGCGTGCCCGAAGACACTGCGTATCCTTTATTTCCAATCTCTACTAAAACCTATAGGTGTTATGTTGCTCTGAGGAACATGGTCGGATTTTCTGATGAAAATAAGCAACTAATGATGCGTATGAAACCATAAAATCAGCACGTCATTGGAAGGTGATAGGTATAAAAAAAACCTGATGCCCGAAACGAATTAGTGCCTACGCTAGTATTACTAAGGAACAAAATCGAGTGGGCTGATGCTTGGGTTCACCTTCACACTTCCAGCTTTAATAATGAAGATAAATTTTTATGGCCGCCAACTTAGTTGTTTGGTGTCCTCACACAAATAGCGTTAGTTAAGGCATTACAAGATCAGATGCTAGACTGTGAATTTCAATTTTGAGCGCAGTGAAAGCAGACCACAAGCAAAAGAACCCATATTACAACGGAATAAAGGATCAAAATCGACCGCAGATTGCGATTTAAAAATTCGGCGAATTTCGTATATACCACTTTGGACTTCATCAGGCTTCCTAACGTTTCAGCAGAGTGAGTTTAAGGTATTAGAAATGTAGGGGCACGAGAATGTAAGCCTCATAATTTTTGTTCATAATGTGTTGATTAACTCCACATGCCCCCTTAATAATAATGAGACTAAGCTACGACTCTAACTGGGAATCTGACATGTATCAAAAATGTGTGGTTAATGCGCTTGCTTCTATCTCATGTTGCCAGCGACAGCCGGGTGAAGAGACATTTTTACAACCCACAACGTTTTTTGGTAGAGTTGGTTGAGAGTTTACTCCATCTTCCTAACTAAGTAACTTAGAAGGCGGAAAATTGACTTACGTTTACTAGTGATAGGAAAACTTTAGCCTTTTGTGGATATATTTTTGTGTCGAATTTTTTATTAGAGCATGATACTGCAGTCAGTTTTTATGTTTCCACTCAGGGATGAATTGATGGAACTTCAATGGCTATTTGTACAAAAAACATATAACATTGTGAAAATTATATATCCCGTAACGTTGAATGTTGCTGCTTTATCTTGTAAATACTGAATGCATAGAGTGTTTTTTTAGAAAGCTGATAAAACCTATCTGAAGCTCTTTGTCAGAGTAACAGAATATATCCTAACTCACACACCTTGAGATGGCCTGAATTAAATTAGCAGAGTGTAATTAGTGTATGACCCTCAAGCGTTTTGATGCTATATTTTCTGCCTGAAAATCTCTGAAGACTGTAATAAATTACATGATATTATATTTTCTTTCACAAGCTCAAAATGCGCGCTCTCAAAATTTGCCTAAACAGAACAAGGTTAATATAAAACAACCAGTGCATAATCACAGTTAAATTACTCATTCAAAAGAAGTTTATTTATAATTTTTTTAAACAAATCAAACATCATATCAATGGCTGCTGAACTTTCGAATGACAGCCATGTCTACGGGCGCCTATACGGCTCTGATGGTACGTCGTGTCAACTCTTGTTTCCGATATTGCTCTTCCTGTAAATAAATGTATGAAACGTACCTAGTGCATAACCGCCATTTGATCGATTTTTTTATCTTTCTTTTTCAGTCAAGTAAACGCAAGGTGAGTTGTCAGGGTTTGTTTATGATAATTATTTGCTACATGCAAATCATGGTTTCTTTATTTGACCTTATTGAGCATATCATTGAGACCTATGATATATATATATATATATATATATACGTATATATAGTCTTCAGCTTCTAACTGTTCATTGTAAACAAGTTGTTGAGGGTAATAATGTGCTGCACATGGATTTTACCCAGGAACCTGGCAGAAGTCCAGTCGGTATGTTGCATGTCACACTTTACTATCATATAATCAGGGGTCCTTGATAATTTGTTTCTGTGGACATTTCACCTTAATCGAGACAGTGACCCACTATCCAACACCTATGTCAAAGTATTAGTATGCTAAAGTAAGAATGTCTTTGTATCCAGCGTGACACGTTGCTTGAGGCGCCAATTAAGTTATGTGAATAACGCTCAGCTTGAATGTGCATTTCGTGTTCATATTATTGCAGAGCGTGATTGACTGCTACCCTGTAAGTGGTGTATGCAATAAGGATACGTTCATCTGTTTGCTGACAGATTGTATTGAAATACAGACCTACATACATATTGGTTTCATCCTCTTACGTTACATCTATCAATGTCACATTCAGATAAATCTCATGAGATATCCAATTGTGGGAATCTTATTGACGACTTTTCATCACACCTTTGTTCTAATATGTTAATGTTACGAGTTTCTAACAATTGTTTTGAACTAATTTAACTTGCTCAACAGCGTGATGAAGCCAACGGATTCATAATGAACGGCAATGGTCATGCTCCCATGGAAACTGATACTAACGATAATAAAAAGGTAACCACATTGTTCTTAAGTTAACATCCTCTCAGTCAAGAATTGAATATGTAGAGACTGTACCATCGAAGGTTGTTCATATTCGTAACATGCCTGACGATGCTACAGAGCATGAAATAGCACTTTTGGGGATACCCTTCGGTCTTCTAGAAAATATGGTTCTCTCAAAGAAAGCAAATCAAGTAAGTATGTTAAGTTCTTAACATGTATTGTAGGCTCTTTTGGAAATGCAATGTTTGGAGAGTGCGATCATGATGGTTACATATTATCGTGAGTATCAGGTCACATTGAGAGGACGAACGCTAGTTATGCAATATTCAAAGCATCAGCACCTTGAATTACACTCGGAAAATAGCAGCATTGGCAGCGCAATCCAGAATGCTAACTGTATTGTTCAGCAGGACCTCAGTGGTGCCAATTCCGGCATACCTACTACAGTTTTGCGTGTTGTGGTTGATAATATCATGGGTCAACAGATCAATCACACCATACTTCATAAGGTAGCATCTTTCCATACTAATATCTCGTCTAGATATTTTACCGGTATGGGAAAATACTAAGAATTGTCACATATCTCAAAAACAATCAGTACCATGGGCTAGTCGAGTTCGGTAACCATATTCATGCATTCGTTGCAATGCTAGTAAGTTTCTTTGCTTCAATTTTAATAAAGATTTAGCATCTAAATGGTCAAAATATATACACTGGATGCTGTTCACTTCGCGTGCAGTTTTCTAAAAACCGGGTCCTTTGGAGGTTCGTCAGGAAAGTGATAGATGTAGAGATTATCAGAACAATCCACTAACTGAAGATGAACTTATGAGTCTTCGGAGGCCTACAGGTGGAAGCGGTGGGCATCAAAACAACAATCCCAGTCACGTCTCATCAAATTTTCAGAATTCAATCGTGCCCAGTCTCTCACATCAAGGTATTCACCTCCCAGTAGGAATGATAGCACCTCCAAACACAAGCAATTTGGGAATCAGTGAACTAACTGCACAGTTGGCAGCTCTTGCTCAGCAATCAGGTTTGGCTTTGACTCCTGCAGCAGCAGCAGCTACTGCAAGTTTTATGGCCCTAACATCTCAAAATAGTGGTCCAGGTGCTCAGTCGATGTCAGGGTCTCCTAACTTGTCAGCCATTCTTGCAGCCCTTCAAGGTGGCGCTGTCCAAACTGGCGTGCTTCCTCACATGTCTGCTGGAAATGCAAGTGTAATTGGATCAGTACAATCGCCCATCTCTTCACATGTGACCCCCGTCGGTGTTCGCCCACCACCCAACAACAATGGAAGCACAGTCCTAATAGTGTCTAATCTCAACGAGGATGTAAGTTTTCGATTTGATATGTTAATTTTATGGGATCATTCCGAAAAGAATCACGGCTAACTTAATATTCTATTTTCCGTTTCATGTTTTCTTGAATTCACACCATCTGCTCACAACCTTGGGTCTTTATCCGTTGATTGGCCATGCGATTATGATTGTTCACCTCTGCTACCAAATCGACCGTTTCTCTTCGTATTCCGGTGTTTTTGTCCAATCTTGCTGAATATCTGAATGTATTGTGACTCCACGTGATATTAAATTCGGATTCATTGTTTTAACCTTCATCTTCGTTAAGAGGGTTTATCCGGATGCTCTTTTTACACTCTTTGGTAGGTTTATACCTTATCTTGTTCTACTGTTACACATTACAAATTTTCTTGTCCGTAAACATTACCTATTTGTTCTCTTAAGTTCTGTATTAATTCTGTTCTCATTCTTTAAGTTGACTTTCAATTGCACAACAAGGTGTTTTAGTTTCTATTCATTTTCAAGATGAAACCTGTGTTGTGAGAAAGTAACATCAAATTATGTGCAGCGGTGACCACCAGCGGCTCTTGAGGATGAGATGTTACTAATACATTCTTAGGATTCTCACAAATCATTAAGTGCTTATATTTTGCCTGGTTGGTAATTTGCAGTAAAGCATACGTCTGCTCGGTAGACCTCAATTATTGTAATGTTTTTACCAGGGGAAATACACTTCAGTTTTACGGATTATTTTCAAGTATCAACAGACATCGGTTTAAAGTTCACTAAACAATTAATGACATGACTTGTATATAAAATATTAGATTATCCACCTGCTGATCGTGATCTATGTAACGAGATTTAGATAACTGTTTCGTTACGATCCGCTATATTATGACTTTGCTGCAGCACCGTAGCTCCGATTTAGTCAGGAAGGTTACTCTTTACAAAAATGATTTATGTTATGTTGGGTATTTCTTGAATACTTCAAGTCCTTGGTTGACATACCGTTGCAAACACTGCTCAAAATGACTAGGCTGAGAATCATCATGGGCTGTTTGTAACCCATAAATGATTGATGTAATTTAACGGTTCATTGACTTTGGCACACGGCTCTCAAGAAATGGGTCTTACAATTGTGCACACATATAGCCTAAGTAAATAGATAATATTACATATCTTATAACTGAGAAATTATAATAGGAAGGAAAACGGCGGTTTCGTGTTTTGTTAATTCTAGTGAAATTCAGTCTAAAATAGTTCTCGTTTAGGTCATTAGTACAGTGATCTGCAATATGCGAGTGCACTGCAACCACTCATATTTATATTCATGCCATCTTCCTAATGAAATTGTACTAAAATTCGATTCTCTCGTGGGGGTGTTTCAGCAATTTGGAAAGTTGACGTTTCATTTAAATGACAGGTCTATATCCATGTTACACAACTTTGCATTGCAGGTGTATATGGAGACGTTACTCGTGTAAAAATTATGTTCAATAAGAAGGACACAGCTCTAATTCAGTTCACTGACCCTCATCAGGCTCTTACTGGTAAATCTGTGCGCGTTTATTACTAATTATTTAGCTCTTCAATATCTTAACGGTCAACGCCTTTGGGACAAACCAATGAAGATTGCTGTTTCTCGGCATAATATTGTTCAGTTACCTAAAGAAGAAACTGAGAATGGTTTGACTAAGGACTACACCAACAGTCTTTTACACCGCTTCCGGAAGCCAAATTCGAAGAATTTCCAAAATATTTATCCTCCAAGCCACGTATTGCATTTGAGCAACATACCTCCTTCAGTGGTTGAGAGTGATATACGTGTGTTATTTGCAACCAAAGGATTCGAAGTTACAGGCTTCCGATTTATGTAATTCGATATTTCTTTGAAAATCTTACCCTTATTTTATGTAGGAAGGATAACAAAATGGCTCTCGTGCAGTTGGAAACTATTGATCTTGCTATTCAAGCTCTTATTGTAAGTGCATGTATTTAGTGATCTTTTTATATCATAACAGGAATTGCACAACAGTCAGCTAACAGAAAATTCTCACTTGCGGATCAGTTTTAGCAAATCTGCTGTTTGAATTATCAATTCTTTTGTACTGGCCCGCACATTGGGACGTAATTGATAAGCCGAATGACCAAATATGATCTCAGTATCTGTGCGCTTCCAATTTTCCAATCTGGAGGTGTAGCCTAAAATTTCACATTGACGTTATCATGTTGATAGTCATCAATAAAAAATGTATTTAACGGTAATCTGTTGTTCTTAATATCTTGGGATTTTAGTTAGGCGGATTGTTTAGTAAAACTAGTTCATTGTGGTAGACTACGTCAGTTGCATATTCATCCCTAGAATAAGTTTTTGAATGATTCCTGTGTTTGTGTCAGATTCAGAAAGTATGTTCAATCTGCGCACGTCTTCACTTATATTTTTATCAATTTATATTTCCATATATTGATGACTGGCGAAACGGCGTGTACACTCTATTACCTGTCTCTTTCTAATTACCTTTTTCCCTAGTGGCTAGCTTAGTTTATATTCCACTAAGAATGGATCTGTCGTTACTGTGAAACTCTTGGTGTAAGTATTGCATAAACACGATTTTGTCGTAAAAAACCAAGGTCTAAGTAAAATAGAGATGAAACTCTGGTACGTTTCCTTCTCCACATAAATGTTAAAAAAAAGTATGACATCATCTAACTCAATTAGTAGTGTCAAATCCGCTATGTTTGATGAATCTAAGGAAGGGGTTACCAGGTACCGTGTTCTTTTATGTAAATTTCTATCGAAGCGTGTTTAAAAAATTGCCGATAGTAGATTCATTAGCGTTCACCACGATGACACCTGCGAAATTCTATATGCAGAACTGAGGTACACGTCTTTCCTACAGAATATAGCATCACTTTCGCTTGCAGTTGTTAGATGCACTTTGGTGTAATCTCCTCGGTTCTTCGTCTCAGGTGGAATTGCTCTCGCTCCGCCTAAAGACGACTAAAAAGCAGTCTGTCCTTGATTACTAGGAGTCATCTGACGATACCTTTTTCATTCAGAACATATAAGCGTAATATACGACAAGGTATGAGTAATTAACTAGAAATCAGTTACTGGAGAGGTTATCTCGAACACCTTGTTTTCACTGGTACTACGAACAGATCATAGCTAGGACACTAACTTTGTTTGATGTTTGAGATATAAACTTAAATTCCATAATGAAGTACAGTTGCATGATTTGTTTAAGCAATGAAAGCTAGTGTTTGGCCTCCTAGATATTTTATTGCAAAGGAATGATTCTTCATAGTATGGACAAGGTCAACATGTTCCAAAAAAATGTAAGATTGACTGTCTGCGTCACTAGATAATAAATATTTTATTGCTTAATACTACTAGTGTTCAAACATACGACATTGGCAGGTAGATATAAACCAACTAAACATTGAATTTTGTAGTTGGAAAGATGTAGGAAGTTTAAAGGCAAATTCATTGTGATAGATTTTGAGTTTCATCGCTGCCGGCATCTAACCTCTGCTTTCTCTAGTCCGCAAGCTTAACTTATAAACATCTAGACTTCTTATCAAGCTTTCAATCTGATATATATATATATATATATATATATATATATATATGCTGAGAAATAATCATTTAGGTTAACTAACTCAATACACAGGTATACTTCTATTTGGTTGTCAGATCACTTAAATAAATGTTCATTCATTGTAGGTTTTATTTTGGATTATTAATGATATATTTGTGTATGACCTTAAAAGACGACTCTGGTGGAGCTACGTGGCTTAAGTTCACCAAGTGCTCGAGAATTGAGCTAGTAATTGTCTTGTGGCACAGTGGTTAGGACTCTCGCCGACTATGCACATGGTCCGGGGTTCGAGCCCGCACCGACGCACACCTGATATCTATGGTCGGCCTGCAAAATTTGGGCCACCGATATCCATGCTGAAAATTCCATACTTTTACCGAAAATACAGTGTGGAATCAAGCTGTAAATCAAAAATTAAAAAAAAATTATTGTGCATTTTGCTAACCATCCCTGATAATGTTCAGAGATGCGTTGAGAAAGTGTGCGCTTTGTGAGGCCAATATAACTAATTGTTCCGATCCATTTCTTAAAGGAACTACTATTGAAGTAAACTTTTAATGTCCAATTCAAGTTCAACAATACGCTTTATAGACAAAGAGATGGAGTAGCAATGGGTTCACCATTGGGTCCTTTACTTGCAGACTGCTTCTTCGCAGTTTCCATTTGTACTAAAGATACATGGACGATACTTTCATCATATGTGACGAGAATACCGACATTGAAATGATAATTAAAGAGTTCGACAGCTGACACCATGCCATCCACTTCACTTCGGACTCAGAGATGAACTCAGAATTCCATTTTTTGGATGTTTTTCTTGAAAGGAGATCTGGTGGTTCTCTTCAAAGAACGATATACAGGAAACCGAAATGGAATGATCAGTACACGAATTTTCATAGTTGGGTCCCTTTCAGAATAAGAGAAAACCTGATCCACTCCTCATCCTGAAGAATGAGGAGGATATGTTCCAGTGATACAATCAATGGGGAACTGGGGCGACTCAGACAAGTCCTCATAGAGAATGGATATCCTCCAAGATTTATCGAGAAAAACATGAGGTTAAGCGAGAAGCCTGAAATAACCCAGACGGTGCCGAAGAGACTGCTATTTATGAGCACTGAATTTAAAGGGGAAACAGCAGCTGAGATCCTGGAGAGTCGCTTATGCAGATCACTAAGGAAAGCCTTCTTTATGGCTGGGCTACATATCAATTTGTACAGCTGACAAATGATCAATGGATGTGTTGAGGATGAACTGCCGCTTTGGGCCACCTCAATATATGTTTATAAATTCACCTGCTTGTGTGGAGCTAGTTAGATTGGCCACATAAATCTCACACTTTCCAAACGCATCTCTGAACATTATCCGGGATGGTTAGCAAAATGGACAATACAAGACAATTACTAGCTCAATTCTCGAGCACTTGGTGAACTCAAGCCACGTAGCTCCACCAGAATCGTGTTTGAAGATCATCTACAAGGTAAGACCAGATGGTACAAAGAGCGCCAGGTCTCTGCTTTTGTGTATGGCGGAGGCGCTGGCAATTAGTCAGTGTAGTTTTGTGTAAATCGATTGTGTTGACTAGGGGTTTTGAAGATTTATTTTTATACACCTAGCAATATTAAAATGCCTTTCTGTGACTTTTTCTCTGTGTATTTCATAGCCAAAAATATTTTTCTACCACTGTTCAAAAGACTTAATCCTATAGATGTAATGAATGTACAAACTATTTTCTTATTTTGTAAGCAGTAAACAGATTGACAAATAAACTCATGTTTGGTTTAAAAGGTTAAAGGGATAGGTCAGTCGTAGAAGACAGACGGAACAATTGTCTCTTATTGATTCTATTTTATTAACTACTATAGATATATTACTGTAAGGCCCGAAAAAGTTATCGAAAAGGATATTTTTTGTCTTTAATCTTCTTTTCATGATTGTGATCTACATTTCATTTGATAAGTAGTGACAGTAGATGTGCGTTTCGTCCTACTTCGGACGTGTCATCTGAATGGACCTGTGTACCAGTGAGTCATAGCGCCATTTAAACCTTTTTCGGAATCACAGTAAGATTTACGTCAGCTGATTTAAAGTGCATTAATTCGATGACATTTATTTGGAAGTAATTAAGGGTAATACATATCGCGGAGGATCGATATAATCCTTATTGTTATTGGGCGCATTATTCGACACTGGCGGAACTGACGGGAAAGCAAGACAAGCTTTCATTACTCTGTGTGGAGGTCAACAGCACTCACCATCAGAAATAAGATCCGGATTTTCAACTCCAATCTAAAGTCAGTGCTACTATACGGATCAGAGACTTGGCGCGTCATAAAGAGCATCTCAAACAAACTTCAGACCTTCATTAACAGTTGTCTTCGCTCAATACTCAAGATCAGATGGCCGGCCAGAAAAGATCAGCAACAGGGATCTCTGGGAGCGAACCAACCAGGAAGTGATTGTGAAACAAATAAGCAGGAAGAAATGGAGATGAATTGGCTGGTCATACTCTGAGGAAACCATCAAGTGACATCACTAGACAAGCCATTGCTCGAGTGGAACCCGAAAGGGAAGCGGCGAGTTGGTCGTCCAAGGATGACTTGGAGGAGGTCATGTGAAGAGGAGGTGAAAGCATATGGGCAGACCTGGAGCCAGGTGAAAACTTTAGCAGAGAACCGAAGGCAATGGAGGTGCGCAGCTAAAACCCTATGTTCCTCTAGGAATTAAAGGATACAATAATAATAATTCGACACTAACAACACAAATAATGTTGTGTTTCCGAAATGTTATTCTTCTGCAGATAATATCAAATGAAAATTCATGACAAACAATCTGCCTGAAGATTTCACTAGTTTTTATTATTACCGATTATCCTACGTTGGGTCGTACAAAAATTCTAACTAAACGCCATGTCCGTAGTGTTCATAGCCATTGTAAAATAAGGTCACCAGTCAGTCAACGTCTAGGCTGATGTTGTCTGAGGCTCTGTGTATCCACATCTCTTTATTGACTATACGTGTACTTAACTTATCTGCTCTGTTAATTTTTCAGTGACACCAAGTTTGTAATTTACTGTAGGAAGATTTAACGTATGATAGTCACGAATTGTACCCATGGAAATCTGTGTTGTGCGGCATATATTATACCACTTTTTCTGTTACTTGAAGATGCTTATTAGCGGTGTATAGTACGGCCAAGGATTTTCAAACTACCTAAAAAGAAAAACTACCTTCAAATTTATAAACTGTATTTTAATTTCTTAAAGTTTGAGTACTAAGAATCAACGTTATTAGGACTATGAGTTTTAATATTCAGCCAGATTTCTTTTTCCACCACTCTATGAATAACAACTGTAATGTCGAAAGTTAGCATCCTTCGT